AAGGGAGAGGGCGGCGGTGGCCGACGCGTCCCCGAGCTAAGAAGCTCAAAGCGCCGCGGCTCAGAGAGCCGGGAAGACAGACAGACAGACGGACGGACGGACAGCCAGGCGGCGTGCAATGCCTGGCAAGCCAAGTGGGTGGTCACTGCATAAGGGAAACAGAATCCCGAGCAGAGCAACACGCACCACGACCACGACGACGCCGACGACGACGACGACGGAGACGAGGCGCGCTTACGATCCGCACCGAAGCACGGATTTGGGAAAGGGCCCACCCTGCAGGTTCGGTTAAACAGCACATCGTTGAGCGGTGCTGCAGCCTCCCCTGAGCACAGGCCCCCCCAGAGCATCAGCCAGACAAGTCGGGTTTGCACCCTCATGCCTTGCTGGACTCTGGGCGCGTTTCGGCACCCTCTCCCCCAACCTCGTCAGGGCCACCGACAAGGGAGAGGGCGGCGGTGGCCGACGCGTCCCCGAGCTAAGAAGCTCAAAGCGCCGCGGCTCAGAGAGCCGGGAAGACAGACAGACGGACGGACGGACAGCCAGGCGGCGTGCAATGCCTGGCAAGCCAAGTGGGTGGTCACTGCATAAGGGAAACAGAATCCCGAGCAGAGCAACACGCACCACGACCACGACGACGCCGACGACGACGACGACGGAGACGAGGCGCGCTTACGATCCGCACCGAAGCACGGATTTGGGAAAGGGCCCACCCTGCAGGTTCGGTTAAACAGCACATCGTTGAGCGGTGCTGCAGCCTCCCCTGAGCACAGGCCCCCCCAGAGCATCAGCCAGACAAGTCGGGTTTGCACCCTCATGCCTTGCTGGACTCTGGGCGCGTTTCGGCACCCTCTCCCCCAACCTCGTCAGGGCCACCGACAAGGGAGAGGGCGGCGGTGGCCGACGCGTCCCCGAGCTAAGAAGCTCAAAGCGCCGCGGCTCAGAGAGCCGGGAAGACAGACAGACAGACGGACGGACGGACAGCCAGGCGGCGTGCAATGCCTGGCAAGCCAAGTGGGTGGAGGAAGAAGAGGAGGAGGAGGAGGAGACTTCCCCGATAGTGCCCCCGCCCAGTGGCCCCCAGCATGCCCACCTCACCGCCCGCCCCAAGGGGAGTCTCCAGGGGCTGCCTGGAGACGCCCCCCAGGGCAGAGGGCGTGGCACCGGGCCCTCCGCTCGGCAAGCACACTCCGCCGCGCGTTTCTGCGACAGCTGCTCGCCTGTCCTCCTCTCGGCCCCCACAGTCCGAGGGCGTCGAGCGCCGAAGCGACCCCACCCCATGAGGGTGAGGTGGGCAGGCAGCACACAGCTCGTGAAAGCGTTGAAGCACAGACAGCTAAGCGAGAGTCGTGGAGTGGACGGTAGGGCAGACAGACTGCAAATGTGCTGAGACTGCACGGACGGAGCAGCACGGACAGGCACGGTCCCGATTACAAAGAGACGGCAACCCACGAAGACAAAGGGTATCCGCCCCGCGCTTGAAGCATGTGGTGCGTGTCGGGCGCTTGCATCTTGGCTTAGTTACGCCTCCTGCAAAGCAACAGCTAAGGCCCTGGTGCATCGAGATTAACATGCGCTTATCATGTGGGCCGCGTCCCTGCGGCTCTTGCTTCCCAATCAGAAAATTATGCCGACGTCGAAAGTCCCAGTGGAGCGTTCCGTGTTACCTAGCCCATCCCAGGTGGCCCCCACCCCTCTGGCCCCCACCCTTCCTCCGCCCCTTGCAGCACCTTCTCTTGCAGACGCGCCCACCCTGGCGCAGTGGCGGGTTACGCGGCAGCGCAGATGGATACTCGGGCATCGCAACAAAACACCATAAACGAAACAACTGCGCGAACTCCCCCCATGTGTGGTACGCCTTTTGGCTGTCGTTGGCGATACAATAGAAAATCTTACATGGCTCGGGTTCTCGTGGTAACTGCCTGATTACGGGGACGATCCATTGATGACAATTGCTGGTTCATGACGCGGGCTAACCGTGATGACTACGATAAGCCGCTCCCCGTCTGGCCATCCGCATTCATAGTATATGAAAAGCAAGCCATGGGGATAGCCAACAACGGTAGTTGTGCTAGTTATTGTGATGGTGGCGGTGTTGGAAGCGATGCGATGGTGGCGTCTGACGGCGGTGGCTTGCGGTGATTACTGGTGGCGATATGGTGAAGACTCGTGGAGTGGTAGTGGTGTGATTGGTGGGCGATGACGGGTCATGACGGTGACCGAACACGTGCTTCTATGGGGCTGGACTGAAAGTGCGGCCACAACTGTTCAGGGCGCCAGAGCATGGCGCCCCCACCCCTATCCATGAGCAAAGCGAGGGTCCTGGCTAAGAGCATCCCCAGACGGGAACTCGGAGCAAGCCTGGTAGTGTCTCTGCCGGAGCGGCGTGAAGGAGGAGGCGTCGGGCAGCACGGCCCAGGCTGAGACGCAGAAACGAATTAGCGGAGCTCCCAGCTGACCCGCTGGGCTCCCCAACGGGAGCCGCCAGGCCCGTGGGGCGCCCTGCTGCCGCTTCCCGCGGACGGAGGCCAAGAGCCTGCTTCCCCTGCTCGGCTCGGCGACTCCGAAGGGTGTGGTGACCAAAGGGTGCGGTTTGCAACCCGCGCCCCGGGGGCAGGTTAGGACCTCCAAAAAATGGTTTCTCCACGCCCCGTCCAGGTACCATCGAACCCTCGGCGCAGCGTCATACCGATCGCAAACCACACCCCAGCGCAATCACCCCCGCTTGGCTCTCAACGCCGAACGCCCGCGGCACCGGCACTGCGCCCCGTCCGCCGCCGACTGCCTCCGTTCGGCCCCTTCCACGACGGTCCCCCGCTCTCCCCGCGGTGCCCCCGCCCGCTGCCGACGGCCTCTGTCTGGCTCTGTCCCCGGCGGCCCCGGTCTCGCATGCTGTACCTCGTCCGCGGCCGCATGCCTCTGTCTGACTGCGCCCACGACTGCCTCCAGCTCCCCTGCTGTGCCTGGCCCGCTGGCAGCTGCTGTCCCCCGGCGCTGCCCCCGACTATCCATCCTAATCGACCCTGGCACTGTGCCTAACCCACCGCCCGTCGTCCTCGCTCGGCTCAAACTTCCCCCGACCCTCGCGCAATATCTCGCCCGCCGCCGATTGCCTTCGCCCGGCTCCGTCCCCGAATAGCTCCGGTTCACGTGATGGGCGATCACAAGCTACCTCCCCAGACGTTTTCCGTCGCAGCGCAACCGAGGCGATCCGCACGCGCGCTCTAGTGAGCCGGGCGGAAAGAAGGGGGGAACGAGGCGGGGCGCGGCCGCGGAGAGGACGAGGAGGGAGGGCACTCACAGCACGAAGAGCTTCGACTGGCTGCCTCTCCAGACCTCCGATATCTCTACTGTTTCAGCACAGGGCCCCCGGAAGTCCCGACCCTTTACCCCAGGGCCCGCGTTTCGCCCCGAGCAGCTCTGTTCGAACAGAGGGGCCGTGAATCCACGGTCCCGGGGCCCGGCGAGGGGCCCCAGAGGCCGAAAACAGCCGGAAGAACGCCGTCGTGACTCCTGCACGACGCCAGCGCATGTCTGGGCCTTGTCTGACTGATCGGAGCAGACTCGCCAGTCTCGCTCATCATTCCAAGGTTGCCCGGTGCCCGCAGTTCTGCTCGTTCGGGCCCCGCTGCCCTGCTGTGGGGCCCGGCCGGATCCCCCCGCGCCCGGCATCAGCTGCTTCGCCGCGTGCCTCCTCGGTTCCCGTTTCCCCTCCTCGGCCGCGCGCCGAGGGGGGGAAGGAAGAGAGGCCAGGCCTGCTCAGAAGGCGGGCGGGGCTGCGGAGGAGGCTTTGAGAGAGCGCATCGGGAGGCCGGAGGCCTTCTGAGCCTTCTGGGACGGCCCGCCCCCTCGGCCTTCCCCCCTCGGCGCGCCGCCCGGCCTGTCTCTGCCTTTCCGAGGGTCCCTGGACGGGGGGGATCCGTCCTCGAGGGCCCTCGTGGACTGCTGGACGGGACGACGGCATGCTCCCACGTGCGAGTGCGACTGCGCGTGCGAAGCAAAGAGAAGAGATCCGTGCACAAATGCGGAGCGAAACGTGAAATGCAAGATCCACACGTGCTCCGTCTTTCCTCATCCTCAAAGCTCATTATCGCCAAAAGGGTTGGTCGAATGGGTGCGGAATATGAGGAGTGGCCAGTCCGAGGAGATGAGCGCTGAGCCAAAGCGCTTGTCGCGGAGGAAACCTTGAGGGCACGGCCCTGGATGTCTGTGAGCCGCGGCATCGATTGATCTCGATTTTTAGCTGCCGCGGTGCTCCCGTAGGGAGCACCAGAACCGCAGGATCTTTTGGGAGCTCCAAGCTTCCGAAATGTCACAAAACAGCATGCACGTCTCGTTGAGTACTCGACCTACTTCCATCGTGCTGCGCCAGCGCTGGGATGCAAACCGCTGCGGGTCCTACATGAGACGTTGGACCTGCAGCTGGCCGAGCAGAAGGGTAGGGCGCACCACGTTCAGGCTCAGGCTTGGCATTGGAATGTTACCGCGCAGTGTACTCCCGTGCGCTCAATGACCTGCAATGTCACGACCGTGAGCAGCACGGCCAGGAATCCCAGTCCAGAGCATTTCCATGGGAGGCCCAGCGGAGAGGCGACAGCCACACGAGTCTGGGCCCACCACGGGAAAGGCACTCGGCAAGCCTGATTCGCTTGCGTGCGTGAATGGCGACAAAATATCAGAAAGGAATCGCTGAGACCCCCGTGCGAATTGTCAGCTGCGCCCTTCCTAGATAGGCATACACTCGCATTGAAGTGCAGCCTCACGAGCGCAGTTCTGCGAGCGAGGGCGACTAAACATACCTACTACGTCCTCCACATCGACCGCTGACGACCTCACGGCAATCGCCGATGACTCAGATGCGGCGCGGCTTGCAGACGAGGAGGCGCGGGCAGGCCTGGCCGCGCCCGCCATGCCTGCGAAGCTTCCTCGTCGCCCGGGCATGATGCGCTGCGGCCCTGCCCCCGAGCTGATGCCCGGGCGCCGCCGCGAGAGGGGGCTCCTCAGACGTTGCAGTCCGCGCGGAGGACCTGGGACACGGGGATCCTCGGGGGATGCGGAAGGAAAGACCGGAGGCTTCTAGAGCTCACTGGATGCTCGGGAGGAGCCGTCGGGAAGCGGCGGCACGGGGATCCTGAAGGGAGAGAAAGAACTGGGAGTTCTTGGACATACCCAAATGATCGGGAGGATCCGTCGGGACACGGAAGCGCTGGGGATCCTCGAGAGGACGAGAACTGTAAGGATCCTCGGGAGGATCATTCCGTTGTGATCCTCGCGGTCGGCTCCCGAGCGATCGGATAAGATTATCAACGCGTACATGCTTCATCGTGATATGCTTACTTTACGAGTACTCCTTGCTTTGATTTGCGGACTTGCTCTTGACGCGCTCTGTTTACGAAGGCGAAGGCGTTTTACGCACGAAGGCACGCCGACCTTGGCGTCGTGGCCTGCGCGGGAAAAAGGGGGGGCGCTCCCGTGCCGACCCAGCGCGGGCAGCCTGTGCCCGAACGCCCGCGCGGCCGACCCCCCCCCCCCCCCGCACCCCCACCCTGCTCCCTTGCAGTCGCTCGGAGGCCCCCCCGCCCCTCCCGACGCCCAACTCCCCAGTCGCGAGGGGGAGGGGGAGGGAGGAGAAGCGCGAGCGCTGGCCGGAGGAGGGCCAGCCCGAGACAACGGCAGCCCCCCCCCCACGACGACCTACCAGACCACCCCGACCCAACCCGAAGACGCGAAGTTGACCCGGATTTCGGGTTGGGGGAGGTACGGGGACCATGTGTTTTTTCAATGTTCCTCCTCCTCCTCCTCCTCCTCCTCCTCCTCCTCCTCCTCCTCCTCCTCCTCCTCCTCCTCCTCATCCCGATCCCCCCCCCCACTGGAAATGGAGGGCAAATTGAAGCCTTCGGGTTGGGTTGGGGTGGTTTGGTTGGTGGTGACCCCCCCCCCCCCTGGCGCGCACTTCGGGGGTCTGCGCGGAGGCCTCTCGCCGCCGCGCCTGGGGGGGCCCGCCGTGACGAACGGGGCCACGGGAGGGGCCCCGGGGACGCGCGGCCGTGGGCCCGGCGGGAGGGCCGCCGCCGTCGCACACGGCAAGACGGGCCCAAAGAGGCGCGCCCAAGACGGCCCAGGCAAGCCCGAAGACAGCCTCAGGAGGGGGGCCCAGGTGGTGAACCCGAACAGGCATCTCGAGCCCTCGGCTCCGAGGGGCCCCCAGGAGTTCCCAAGAGGCCCCCAAGAGGCCCCCAGGAGGCCCCCAAGAGGCCCCCAGGAGGCCCCCAAGAGGTAAGAGCCAGGGCAGCGGTCCGCAGCTGGGGGGGGGGGGGGCGTACGGCGTCTCCGCTTGACGCTGCCGCTGCCGCTGCCGCCGCCCCGCTTCCACCCCCGCTCCGTCTCGCCACCACCTCTGCGGTGGGGGCATCTTCTTGTATATCCGCTGATCTGCGAAAGCAAGCTTACTTGCACACACGACGACAACGAACGAAAAGAGGAGGAGGAGGAGGAGGAAGAAGAAGAAGAAGAAAGAGAAAGAGAAGAAGCGAACTCTGGCGTGGTTGACCTCGACACCACCAGGTTCGAGCCCCTCATAGCGCTACGGTGGGGGCATTGGACAAAGAACCATCGGCTGAGGAACCACCCAGGGTCTGAAAGCCATTGGAACCACAGTTGAGGCTTGGCCACGGGTATCACCGCCGCCCTCAGCAGCCTCCGGAATCATCCAGGCTCTGCAGCCTCCCGGGCACACTCCTTGACGAACGCCCCCGCCCAGAGAGCTCGGCTCCGTTCGGACCAGCCCGGCGCGCCAGCCCTGGCGGAGCGGCCCCCCCTGAGGGGCAGGCGGGGCACGGGCGTGCAGCGAGCGCGGAGAGGCGCGGGGAGGGCGCAGCAGCGCCTGGAGGAGGAGGCCGCACCGAGCCAGGGCCCCGCCACTCCGCGAGGGCGGCCGCCCCGAGGCAGGGTCCGCGGCAGAGGCGCCGAGGAGCCGGCGCGCGAGGGGGAGGAGGAGAGGGCGAGGCGGGGGGGGGGGCAGCCTCCACCACGACCTCGCCGTAGGCGTCGAAGTCACCCGCGAGCCTGCGCGACGACTCCCGCCCGAAGCCTTCCTCGGAGGACTGCCGCGGGCGCGGCGGCGGCGGCGTGTGCGCCGGCCAGCTCCACGAGGAGCTCGGCGGGCACCGGCGCTCGGCGTGGCGAGCACACTTTTTGTTCATCATTCGCGGCCACGCCCGTGACCAGCCACGCCCACCCCTCTCGTCCCTTCGCGCCGGCGCTGGGGATGAGACCTTCTGAAGCATTCCCAGATGGCGCCTGCGCGAATCGTGACTCGACCAGCCCCCTGCCCCCCCTTCCACCCCCACCGGCCACGCCCAGTATCGCCAGGGGATAATAAAAAAAACGGCCTCCGGGCGCTGGCGCCCCAGGCGCCTGGGGGAACAGAAGCCCAGATCCCTGAGGGTATGATCTTTTCTGTCCCAGCGTTCCTCCTCGACTTCGGCCTCCAGGGCCCGCGATTGGGCCCTGGCGTCGTAAAAGTGACGCAAAACTACCCCCAGGGAGGGGGTCGGGAGCTCTGGGCCGCTCATTGACAAACAAAAAATAAAAACATCGGAGGAGGTCTGATCGGGAGCGGCCAAGAGGGGGGTGTCCAAGAGGGGGGGGTGCAAATCATGACCGGCGGCATGTGCGCGGCCCAGCGGGGGGGCCAGGGACGTAATGAAATAAGAAGAGGCGCCATGAAATCTGGGGACATATCATGGCCCACGCCATGATATCCACACACCCCTAGTCATCACCCCCCTCTTTGTGCTACGTGTATTCCTATAGATTGCCCCTCCCCTGTGGCTCCAATCCTTTGTGATTCGCGTATGGTCCTATAGATTGGGCATCTCCTGGGGCACGAATACCTGGTGTGGTACGTATGTTCCTATAGATTGCCCCTCCCCTGTGGCTCCAGTCCCACCTGTTAACGTATGTTCCTATAAATTGGGCATCTCCTGGAAACGGACCCTTGGTGTTTTGCATATGTTCCTATAGATTGCTCCCCACCGGTGGCTCCAATCCTGAGTGTTGCCGTATGTTCCAAAAGGTGGGCCTCTCCTGGGGCACGATGCCCTGGTGATTACGTATGGTCGTACAGATTGCCTCCCTCCAGTGGCTCCAACATGTTGCATGTTTACGTATGCTCCTATAGATTGGGCCTCTCCTATCCGCGGCGTGGCTGGCTGTATCACGGTCCAACCACTGCGTGAAACCTGCTGGGGCACAAACAAAGTGCAAGGGTTTCGCACGGCGTTTGTATGAGCACCACTATTCCTTGCTTCATCATGGAGGGAGGTATCGCGTAGCCATTTCGACCCAGTCACGCTCAGCCATGCTCAGGCCACTGGCGTGCAGATACACTCATCCTAAGCTTAGATCTACTTAGACTCATGCGCATAGACTCACTCGCACTACTGAGACCCATTCTCACCCCAACTCATTCACAGTTAGATTCACTCTCAGCCTGTCAATACTCAAAACCATTTCTAGTCGAAACCTCTTGCGCCTAGACACTCACAGCGGAATGGTCCATGCAAACAGATGCACATATGGGGAGCTCTACGCAGTAAATACTTGGAAGAGACGGCGGGGTCCAACACACTGCCTGCTGTGCGCACGCCCACCAGCCGCTACAAGAAAAAAAAGAAACCAAACTTTGCCAGGGACGGGGGGGGGAGGCGGCATGCTGCCTGCTGAGCGCAGGCCTACTGGCCTTGTCACAAAGAGGTGCAAAGTGATTGCGGGTGCACCCCCACACAACGCACACAACGCTCGCAAACCAGCCGTCACTTTGCTGTGGTTTTGGACAGGGATTACTGGGGCCGTCGACCTACTCCCAATGTGGCGCACCTGGTGCGCGTGGCTCACCTGGCACGTGCGGCGCACCTCGCGGGCATCGCGCACCTGGCTGGCGTCTGCCTTGGTTCCCGATGGCTGCCGATGGTGGCCCGTGCCCGTGCTGACCCTCGGGTGCTACTTCTGTGGTGGCAGGGCGGGTGGGAGTGAGTGACACGGCTTGCGGCATGGGGTAGCTTGATCAACGTTCCCTAAGAATAAATACTCCCTCCCCTACCGGACCAGCAGCCAACCCGGACGCATGCGCACCCCCCCACTGTCAAAAAACTGAACAAAATACACGTTGCACCAGAATCAGGCTCATGCGCGGACGCACCTCAATCACTTTGGATTGGTTTTTGACAAGGGCGGCGGGGGGGCGGCATATTGCCTGCTGTTTCCAACGCCAACACCCCCACCATCCCTTGCAAAAAAACAATACAACATTCACTTTGCACCAAAGTCTGGATCATGCGCCGACGCACCGCGATCACTTTGCGTTGGATTGGACAGGGACGGCGGAGAGGCGGGCATATTGCCTGCTGTTCGCAACGCCAACACCCCGAACCACCCCTGGTTAAAAACGATACAACGCTCACGTTGCAGCAAAATCTGGACCATGCGCGGGCATCAAGCGATCACGTTGACGCTGCACCAGTTTTTCGCAGGGACGCCTGCATATTGCCTGCTGAGGGAAGGGCGGCGGTATAGGAGAAATAGGAGGTAGAGGCAGAAGAGAGAAGACTTGCAGGGAGGAGAGAGGAAGAGGAGGAAGAAAGGAAGGATTTTCACATATGTGCACTGCTATGAAGTTGCAGCGTACATCATTCAAGCTAGTATATTGCCTGCTGCGCGCAGGCCCCACTCCTCCACGACAACAAAACATTATACGCGGACTTTCCGACGGCGGCCATGCGCGGGAGCCCCGCGACCACTCTGCGTAGTGATTTCTGGCAGGGCTGCTGCGGGGCGCCCCGGGCACGCGCGGCGCACGTCGTGGGAGTCGCGCACCCCTGGCTGGCGTCTGCATCGGTTCCCGGTGTCGTGGTCGCTGCGGGCCCCTGCCAACACGGAGACTGGAGTGCTACAGGCCTCGGAACAAATTAGCAAACACATGCCACATTCAAAGGTCAACGCCTCCCCCTCCCCCCAATGTTCAAAGTTGGCGGTGAGTCTGATGAGATGCACTTCGACCGCAGTCTCCCCCGCGCGTGCCAACATTGAGTTTGGGGGGGAGGGAGAGTGTTCAGTAATTGTTTCCCTCTACCGTACTTATGTGGTGGGAGGGCGGGCGCGAGTGAGCGAGACGGCTTGCGCTCTGTGGGCAAGAGGTGTCCTTACCCCTCCCCTCCCCATACCCCCTCCCCTCGGTCTGGAGGGCGGGGGCGCGGGTCGTTGGCGCGTCCAAGATGGCCCAAGATGTCCCCAAAATGGCCAAGAGGACCTCCAAAATGGCCCCAGATAGCGCAAGATTCCTCAAGATGGCTTCCAATATGCTCCAAGCAGTCCCAAAACCGCTCCAAGACGGCTACAAGAGGCCACGGAGCCTGCCAAGGCGGCCTCGAAGAGGCCCAAATCTTTCAAAAACCAAACAAGAATTCAACGATTTATGCCGTCTCACCCTTTCGCTGCTGGTGGCCCCCCGAGGCCCCAAGATGACTTCCAGGGGGTCCAAGAGAGCCCCAAGAGAGACCCGTAGGGCTCCAAGACGGCCCCAGGAGCGCCCAAGAGCGCCTAAAGAGCGCCCCAAGCGAGTCTCAAGCGAGCCCCAAGAGACGAGTTCAGGGGCTCTCGAGGGGCGGCCCTACTTGAGGACCCTCCCTCTCTGATCGATGTCCTCCCATGTGGCCCCAAGATGACCCCCAAAGCTCCCAAGAGTGCCCCGAGAGGGCCCCAAGAGGCCCCCAAGAAGCCCCCAAGAGGCTCCCAAGAGATCTGCAACAGGCTCCCCCGATTCACCCAAGACGCTCCAAGAGACCCTTGGGACCGCCAAGAGGCCCCCAAGACGCCCTAAGAGGACTCCAAAGATCTCAAGGGACATCCGAAGAGACTCCTAGAGGCATCCAAGAAGCATCTGGCCTTTCTGCTCGCCTTGCGCCCTCCCTGTTTCTGTCTGTTTGGCCACCCTCACCCCTTTTCCTTGAAACGAACTCCTACCTGTCGCGCCCCAAGACGCGTCGGTAGGACGTGTTGGGCGTTTCGCCTGAGACTTCCTCGCTGTGTATGGTCCTGAAGTTTGCAAGAGCTTCACGGGCGATACGCGGGTGCTTTTCGAGATGTGGCTCTAGCTTCAGCGCCACGCGCATTCGTCTTAAAAGTTCGCAGCAGCTTCACGGATGGAGGGCGGGTGGCTTTCAATAGTTGGGTCTAGCCTTATCGCCGCGTGCATTCGCATTACAGTGTGCAACACTTTTACGGATGGAGGGCGGGTGGCTTTCAAAATGTGGTTCTCGCCTTAGCGCCCCGCACGTTCGTCTGAAAAGTTTGCAACCGTTTTACGGGTGGAGGGCGATTCATGTTCAATATGTGGTGTTCGTTTTAGCGCCGCGCACATTCGTCTTACACGTTTTCACCACTTTTACGGATGGAGGACGGCTCCGTTTCAAAATGTATGGATTGCTTCAGCGCCACGAACATTCGTCCTAAACGTTTGCAACATCTCAAGGATGGAAGGCGGTTACCTTTCAAACTGTGGTTATCGATTGGCGCAGCGCACATTCTTTTGGTAAATGTGCAGCATGCCTCTTGAAAGTGTGAAGGACTCGTACGGTCGAATTCCCAAGTGCTCTGGTGCGATTAACGGTTATCAGGACGCAGCAATAGCATTGATTCGCGAAAATATCGAAATCCCAAGAAAAGCGTTCTGGCACAACTCGAAACCCATTGGTCACCCGAAATCCCATTGGTCACCGTCAAGGTATCACTTTAGGTTCCAGGCCAGCACGGCAACTTTTCTATGTTTGAAAACGTGGAAAACGCATGTTAATTTCCAAATCCAGTCGGTCACCATGGCCCTGCCACACGTTCCTGACTCGGGAAGGGCTGAGAAAGTAAGAATCCCATAGCCCTGCCACACGTTCGTGACGTGTGAAAGCTGAAATGGTGAGAATCCCATAGCCCTGCCACACATTCGTGACTTGCGAAAGCTGAAATGGTGAGACTCGCATTGCCATGCCACACGTGTTTGATTATTTTGCTAATCAACATAAGGCAACTGTCCCCCGCGAGAATAAAGTTCGGCCTTGCCGCCACTCTCACCCAACCAAATCTGTATGGGCCAGGGATAATCAACTCTCAGGGGTATGCTTTATTTATCCGAAGGGTTCGGGTAGGATTGCCAGGACGCAACAGCCACGTTGATCTGAAGCGTTGAAGACCCAAGAATTGGGCCGCTTCCCACAATTCAAGCAAATTCTTCTAGGGACCAACGGGGGAATTTGGAGGAAAGGTGTATTGTATCATCGTTGATGCGTCTTGGGCTGGTCCTCCTCCACCTCTTCCTCATCCGCCTACTCCTCCTCCCCCCTCCTCCCCTCTCCCTCCTCCCCCTCCTCCTCCTCCTCCTCCTCCGATTCCTCCTCCATCCTCCCCCTGTTGGGGTAGAACGGCTGTCCCAGCCCTTTGTTCCGCTGCCTGCTCCTACACATCCCTGATCAGAGCAACTCGCCGATGTATCGTCTGCAATCGCGAAGCGTCTAGAACTAAGCCGAGTCGGCCGCTCCAAGATGCACAACTGCGCCATGCCAGCGTCAGGACCCATCGGATCGTCGCAGCCTCGGAATCGAAGCCGGGCCAGCCGAGATCAATGTCGAGCCGGATCGATCGCATCGAAGTGGACCACGGAGTCCTGTACCACATGCAGTAGAGGTAGTTGTGGATGAAGTCAACCATGATCAGGATCTCGGGGCCGCGCGCTCGCCGGCCCACGCGCGCCGAGGCTCGCGCCGTGCCACGCCCCCGAGCCAGGAGGGGCCCCGCGCGAAGGGCCTGGTCCGCGCCCGTGGGCCGAGCAGTGCCCTGCGGCCTCGCGGATCTCCGAGGACCTGCTTTGGTCGATCCCGGCGTTCTCCCTCGACCTCGAAGTCCGCTGGCGGCGGGCACAAGGGGGCCCGCGCCTTCTGAGAAGCAGGTGTGCTTCTCGGAAGCCTCCCCCCCTCCCCCACACCCCCCTCCTGCGCGTGGCCGACAGGGGGCTGGAGCGGCGGCGCGCGGGTTGGGGTGGACAACAACAACAACAACAACAACAACGACAACAACAACAACAACAACAATCATTTTACCCGAACGCTCAGTGTTCTCACCAGTGCCAGGGTTTTCATGCGACGCGAGACAATACCCCCACTTCGTGGGGGGGCAGTTCAAGCTCTACCAAATATCCAAACGACTCTTCGCGACCACCCAAACCCAGCTTCCCGCCCTATGACGTTGGGACACTTCACTTCGTGGCGTGCGGACGACCGTGGCTACTACACTGGCGTGGGGTACACACCCACAGAACTTGGTCACTTATTCGGGGCGCGCGTGTGCCCAGCATCCTGCAATTGTGACATACAATACATGACACAGACAGACAGAGAGAGAGACAGAGAGCAGACAGAGAGAGAGACAGAGAGAGCGGAGTTGGTCACATTTTTGGGGCAAGTTCCTGAGATCGTCGTGTTTTTTGTTGGTCTTGCGCGCGCGAATGTCCACTTTACTTTTTTTTGCAAGGGAGTATTGAAATTTGATTATGTTAGAACAAGAAAAAGTAGCTCGCGCGAGCTCATGTAACATAAATGTTGAAAAACCAGAGTCGGACAGCGCGCGCGGGATGAAATTTGGACATTTTTTTTTGAAAAACCATTGGGTTTTTTGATGTTTTTATGTTGAAATCGTTACGAAACCTAAGGTTCTGGAAGGATTTCGTCTTGCGCGCGCGAATGTCCACTTTACCTTATTTTTTGCAAGGGATTATTGAAATTTGATTATGTTAGAACAAGAAAAAGTAGCTCGCGCGAGCTCATGTAACATAAATGTTGAAAAACCATTGGTTTCGTGGGATTCGGACAGCGCGCGCGGAAGGACATTTTGACAATTTTTTCTTAAAAAACCATTGGGTTTTTGATGTTTTTATGTTAAAATCGCTACGAAACCTAAGGTTTTGGAAGGATTTCGTCTTGCGCGCACGAATGTCCACTTTACCTTATTTTTTGCAAGGGATTCTTGCAATTTGATCAAGTAAGAACAAGAATTTTCATTTTCTATTGTTTTTTGCAAGGGAAAACGAGCGTCAACAAAACAACCGGATCCGGACATAATCCACTTTTCTGAAGCTTTCGCGAAAAAATGATGAAAATGTAGCTGCGGCCTAGGCGCGGCGCAGAGGTCGCGCACCAGGGGTCCCAACAATAATAATTCTTTAGAAGGAATAATATTCAACAACAACAACAACAACAACAACAACAACAACAACAACAACAACAACAACAATCAGTTTAAGACTGTTCGCCCTTATCTGCTCGAGTGTCGAATAACGCTAATGTCCCAAACCCTCGATACCTGCCCTTTTCGTCTTCGATCGAACCCCTTTTGGGGGGTATACCTTTTTTCCCTGCAGGCCGGGCCCTGGCAAGCGGCGGGGCGGCCGCGGACCGTCGGCCTGGCCAGGGGCAGCGCTGATCGGCGGGGCGGCCGCGGACCGTCGACCCGACCCCAAGAGGGACGGACAGGGGACCGACCACGACGACGACGACGACGACGACGACGACGTCGACGACGACGGCAACGACGGCGACGGCGACGACGACGACGAGCGAAAGCGAGAGCGAGAGAGAGAGAACGACAGCAGATGCACGAAGTAGGCCACGAAGGGCGACAGCGGGGACACGAAGGGAATGCGTATGGGGCCACGATGAGCGCGAACGAGCGTGGGTCACGAAGGGCAGATAATGCGGGGCCACAGAAGGCAACGATGGGGCCACTGAGGGTAGCACTTGGGCCACGTAGGACAATGAGGGGGCCACAAACGGCGACAGCGGGGCCACGAAGGGCATGCACATGGGGCCACAACGGGCGCGAACGAGCGGGGGTCACGAAGGGCATACGTATGTTGGGCCGCGGAGGGTACGGACGGGGCCACTGAGGCAGCAACGGGGACACGAAGGGCAGCGAGGGGGCCACGAAGGGCGACAGCGGGGCCACAAAAGGCATGCATATGGGGCCACCACGGGCGCGAACAAGCGGGGGCCACGAAGGGCATACATATATGGGGCCACGAAACAAAGCGAGGGGGCCACGAAGGGCTGCAACGGGGCGACGAAGGGCAGCGAGGGGGCCAAGAACGGCTGCAACGGGGCCACGAAGGGCTGCAACGGGGCCACGAATGGCAGCGAGGGGGCCACGAAGGGCTGCAACGGGGCCACGAAACAAAGCGAGGGGGCCACGAAGGGCTGCAACGCGGCCACGAAGGGCAGCGAGGAGGCCACGAGGGGCTGCAACGGGGCCACGAAACAAAGCGAGGGGGCCACGAAGGGCTGCAACGGGGCCACGAAACAAAGCGAGGGGGCCACGAAGGGCTGCAACGGGGCCACGAAGGGCAGAGAGATCCCAATTCCTAGGTAATCTGTGAAGGAGTCCTAAGCGTGAGCGCGACTCCTGGGTGCCTGGGTGTCGGGAGCGCGGCGCTGGAGTAAATTGCAAGAAATTCCAACGCAAGGGCGCTATTCTTCAGCAAATTGCAAGCAAGTCTCCAGCGAGAGCGCGACTCCAGAGCGCAGGAGGAGCGATTCCTGAATAAATCGCAAGGAAGTCCCAAGCGAGAGCGCGATTCTTAAATAAAATGCAAGGAAGTCTGGGGCGGGAGCGGGGGTCCTGGCTAAATTGTGAGGAAGTCTCAAGCGGGAGCCGTTGTTGTTGTAATCTGGGGGCCAGGGGGCCAGTTTGAGCAGGAAGACTTTGCTTGACAAAAAACAAGATGCGAGCCCCGGGGGGGGCACTTCAATTGAAAAAAATAATGTGCACCGGTGGGGGGGACCAACAATAATTATTCTTCAAGAATGAGAGTTCAACAACAACAACAACAACAACAACAACAACAACAACAACAACAACAACAACAACAACAACAACAACAACAACAACGTCAACAACAACAACAACAACAACAACAACAACAACAACAACAACAACAACAACAACAATCATGTGAAGACTGTTCGCCCTTATATGCTCGAGTGTGCAATAACCCGTATTTCCCGAACCCTCGATACCCGCCCTCTTCGTCTTCGATCGAACCCCTTTTGGGGGTATACCTTTCTTCCCTGCAGGCCGGGCCCCGGCAAGCGGCGGGGCGGCCGCGGACCGTCGGCCTGGCCAGCGGCAGCGCTGATCGGCGGGGCGGCCGCGGACCGTCGACCCGACCCCAAGAGGGATGGACAGGGGACCGACCACGACGACGACGACGACGACGACGACGACGACGTCGAAGACGACGGCGACGACGCGACGACGAGCGAAAGCGAGAGCGAGAGAGAACGACAGCAGGGCCACGAAGGGCACGAAGTAGGCCACGAAGGGCGACAGCGGGGACACGAAGGGAATGCGTATGGGGCCACGAAGAGTGCGAACGAGCGGGGGCCACGAAGTGCAGATAATGCGGGGCCACAGAAGGCAACTATGGGGCCACTGAGGGTAGCAACTGGGCCACGTAGGACAATGAGGGGGACACAAATGGCGACAGCGGGGCCACGAAGGGCATGCACATGGGGCCACAACGGGCGCGACTCCTGGGTGCCTGGGTGTCGGGAGCGCGGCGCTTGGGCAAATTGCAAAAAAATCCAACGCAAGGCTATTCTTCGGTAAGTTGCAAGCATGTCTTCAGCGAGAGCGCGACTCCAGAGCTCCGGGAGAGTGATTCCTGAACAAATTGTAAGGAAGTCCCAAGCGAGAGCGCGATTCCTGAATAAAATGCGAGGAAGTCTCGGGCGGGAGCGGGGGTCCTGCCTAAATTGCAAGGAAGTCTCAGGCGGGAGCCGTTGTTGTTGTAACCCGGGGGCCAGGGGGCCAGTTTGAGCAGGAAGATTTTCCCTGTCAAAAAACAGGGTGCGAGCGTCGAGGGGCACACTCTGATTGAGGAAGAACAGCATGCACCGGTGGGGGGGGATCAACAATAATTATTCTTCAATAATGAGAATTCAACAACAACAACAACAACAACAACAACAACAACAACAACAACAACAACAACAACAACAACAACAACAACAACAACAACAACAACAAAAAAATCGGGGGACGCCCGGGCCTGCGAGGCCGCAGCGGCAGCGTGCCGCGAGGAGGCAGCGGCGCCTCGGGCGGGCCCCCTGGAGAGCGCCCGCGGCGGAGACCGGCGCGCGCGGCGCGCACGCTGCCGGGCCCCTCTCGGCGCACCACGGGCCTCGCGCCCCTCCTCCTCCTCCTCCTCCTCCTCCTCCTCCTCCTCCTCCTCCTCCTCCTCCTCCTCCCTCCTCCTCCTCTCCTCCTCCTCCTCCTCCTCCTCCTCCTCCTCCTCCTCCTCCTCCTCCTCCTCCTCCTCCTCCTCCTCCTCCTCCTCCTCCTCCCACGCCAGCGAGACACCCCGTTCGGGCTCTTGTTGTCCGTCAGCGGCGAGGCAGAGCTGGCCTGCACCAGCGCCAGAGCTGAACGGGGGCCCCGACAAAGCGAAGCGGCCAGCGTGCAGGAGCGGGGCGAGGGCCGAGACGGCGGCCGCGGAGGGGGGAGCAGAAGAGGCCGGCCCCCGTTCGGGCACACGCCAGCACGGACGAAGGAGCCGTGAATGTGGCGCACGGGCACCAGATCCACGGCTCGGGGAAGGCACCCCCCCGTAAAACGAGGCCAATGCCGCGGCACCTGGCGACGCAGCACGCCGGAGTTCGCACGGAAGCGGGAGCCATCGCCATCATCCGCGCGCCCTGCTCCGTATTCCGGCGGCGAGCGATGGGGAGGGAGGTGAGAGGGAGGAGGCCTTCTCATCTCCCCCCCTCGCTCGCCGCCGAGTGTCTGCGCTTCCCAGACCGGTGTGGGGGGGTGGGTCCGCCTGCACCGCTCCCCGTCCCCGTCAACCCCGTGGGCGGCCCAGGACGGCAGCCCGGCCCGGGCGGAGACAGGCCGGAGCCGCGCGCGAGGCACGAGGAGGTCTGCAGGGGCAGGGGGCGACGCGCAGGCGGCGAGGAGCGGCGAGGGGCATGCAGTTTCCAAGATTCGGCGGCGAGCGAGGGGGGGACATGAAAAGGAGAAGGCCTTCTCGGAAGGCGGCGGGACTTCTCAGAAGCCCTCGCGCCTTCGGAAAGGCTTTTCGCGTCCTCGGGAAAGGCTTCGAGAACTTCTCAGAAGGCCGGGGGACTTCCGAGCTTCCTGGGAAGGCCCGCCTCTTCTCACTTCCCCCGAGGCTTGCCCGAGAAAAATGGTTAGGGCGCCACATGCGAACCCTACCCCTACCCCCCACGATTCCTGAGGGGGAGGGTGGGGTTCACTTCGCTCGGGCGCTCCCCAGCGAAGCGAACCCCACCCCCCCCACCCTCAGAAATCGTGGGGGGCAGGGGTAGGGTTCGCATACGGCCCCCTAATGGTACAGTCATCGTGCTACCACAAAGAACGCATCACTACTGAGCAAAGGGTTCCTCTCGCCACGGCGGGCCGAGTACACAAGCATGCTCCACGACAGAAAGTCTAAGGAACGGCCCGAGAACTCGAGCCCCTCACTTCAGCGTCTTCACTGCAGAGCCGATGCGCATCGCGTTGTCACCGCGGCGTGACCGTGAGGGCCTCAGGCCGAGGGGCCACACGCGAGATCATCCACGCGGACACCGGGACAGGATGGGCGGAGAGTGCACTGGATTAGAATCAGAACTACACTTCGTGCAGAGAGGCTGACAAAAATACGATTGGTCAAACAACGTTGGCATAAGAACGGGGATCCAGGCAAGCACGAGGAAAGGAAGGAGGGTAAACGGCCTTCTCACAATGCGGTGCAGGATTGATTGCAGATAAAGCCATGGTGACGAAGATGGCTGCAAGTAATGCTGTTACGTCTACGAGGATAAACGCAGGAGGGTGTTTTTGTTTCTTGTATATCTGAGGGCTTATAAACGCATGCGGGGCGGCGCAACGGCTTCGATGTCGCCCAGCAGCCTGTACCATCTGCATGCCCACGACCCAAAAGGCAACCAGCTCCTCCCGTGTGACGCTCTTTTGCTCCTGCTTACTTCGCACTGCTGCTGCCACTACAGATTCCTATCGTGGAGCGTGCCCTGATATTGCCTCTGCGACCCTCGAATGCCACCCTGCGGCCGCCTTGCTGCAGCACGCCCGACCCCCAAAGGACATCGACTTTGGTTTGTCCAGCCAATCGCTTCTTGTATGCAGTTGGCATGGCGATCCTTTTTTTTCTGGGCGGCTCGAAACCACAGCACGCTGTCGCTCACAAGCAGAAATGTCGCGGACACGCTTCAGACTCGATGTGCTCGGCCCGCGTCGCCCGCCCCTGCATGAGCTGTCTTATAGATACTCCACGCCGTACGCAGCAGGCACACGTCAGGCAGTCCAGCGTGCGGTTACCTTCATACATACACATGAGAGGGCGCGCCCGTCGTACACGCCCAGCACCCACCCACCGTGGACTTCCCCTGCTGAAGTCCCCCCCCTTTTTCCCGCCCCTTGGAAGCTACCCCACACACCCCACACACACACACACACACACACACACACACACACACACACACACACACACACACACCGTTTCGCGCTCTGGAAGCTCCCCCCCCCCCGCCTTTCCAGGGGGGGGGGGCTTAGCTGCCCCCCCCCAGAGGGCCTCCTTCGCTGGAAGCCTCCCCCCTCCGTTTTTTTCCGCCCCTCGGAAACTACCCCCCCCCCCCCCCCCTTCACACTCCAGAAGCTAACCCCCCCCCCCTCGAAAGGGGAGGGGCTTGGCTACCCCCCCCCCCTTTGACCTCCCCTGCGGGAAGCCCCACCCCTCCTTCTGTTCCGCCCCTCGGAAGTTATCCCCCCCCCCCCTTCGCGCTCCGGAAACTACCCCCTGTTCCACAGGGGGGGCTTAGCTACCACCACCACCACCACCCCATGGGCATCCCCTGCCAGAAGCCCCCCCTCCTTTTTTGTCCGCCCCTCGGAAGCTGCCCCCCCTTTTGAAGACGCGCCGAAAACCAGCGATGCGCCGAAAACCGAAAAAGCGCCAGAAACCAAAGGGGCGCCACCAAGACGAGCGCCGAAAACCAAAAGGGCGCCGGAAACCAGGGAAGCGCCGAAGACGAAACGGACGCCAGAAAACAATCGGGCGCCGCAAACCAACAGGTCGCCACACTCAAAGGGCGCGCAGAAAACCCAAGGGGAACCGAAAACGAAAGGAGCGGCGAAAACCAAAGGAGCGCCGAAAACCAAAGGAGCGCCGAGAACCAAAATGGCGCCGAACACAAAAAAGGCGCCGAAAGCCAAAAGAGCGCCGAAACCTAAAAGAGCGCCGAAGACCAGAGGGGCGCCGAAAACCAAATAAGCGCTGAAAACCAAAGGGCGCCGAAAACCAGAGCGGCACCGAAAACCGAAGAGCCGCCGAAAACCGAAGGGGCGCCGAAAATCCCCAGAGCACCAACAAAAAAAGGCGCCGAAGACCAAAAAAGAACCGAAAAAATAACAGGACGGCGCCGAAAACCACAAGGACGCCGAAAGCTAAAGGACTCCTGGGAGGCCCAGAGCAGTGGTGTCATACGCACATCCAGATTGTACCTCGAGGCTCCCTCGGGGTTCTGCCACCTGTGCAGGTGTCACCGTGTGCGTGGGCCCCTGGGAGGGCCAGCTCCCCAACGCAGGTATAGCGAGCGGCATTGCTGCTGTCAGGGTTTGGTATTCCTCTTCCGTGCCTTCATCTCCCCGTCCTGGTGCTCGTTGATATGCTCAGCATTGCCGTCGTGCTCACGTATGTACACGCATTCCGCCCGTCCCCCGGATACCCGTCGTTTCCTGTCACCTATTACCTCATCTCACATCCCCGCCACCCATATCGCAGTCTTCCGTAGACTAAACAAGCATTCCGCCTCAGTCCTTGCCGTGGTCGCAGATGCGTGTCAATGTTTTCTTTCCGTGGCACCATTCTGAAGCACTACGTCGGCCATGCCCCGTGAATGATGGAACGCGCAAGCCCCCCGTACAGCTGCCACAACAAAGTGCGATCCTTCGCATGCTATCAACCGCATAAAGCAGCCCACTGCAGATGGGATGGGTACGACGCTGGATGTGTGACGCACTCAATGGGATGCAATGAATGCAGTGCAAGCGGTGCGGCGCAAGCATGCCACTTGGTGCAATCCATGATGGGCAGCCTATGTGGGACCACATGCGCGGCGCTATCTACGAGGTTCAAAATCAGTGCTGATATCGACGCGGCGAGATATGTGTGATGCAAGCTATACGATGCAGGCTGCGTCGTGGAATGGTTGTATGCAGTTGTGGTGCAAGCTAGCTACGTGGTGCCCTCTGTGTGTGTACGCATAGTGTGTGGTGCGGGCTCAACAGTGGCTGCACCCTGAGGCGCGCGCCAGCGCACGAGGCGGCGCCACGACGCGGCCCTGGGCGGCCAAAGGGCGTCAGCCCGCGAAACACCCCGCCAGCTCGCGTGGCGGCCACGCGGTGGACACGGGACGGCCAGGGAGCGCAGGTCCGGGACGGCCAGCCAACGCACGGGGCGGCCACGAGGTGGACACCAGGCGTCAGCCCGAGACACCCAGCCAGCCCACGAGGGGCGGCCACGGGCGGCCACGGAGCGCAGGTCCAGAACGGCCAGCCAGAGCTCGGCGGCGAGCCCGGGAGGGAAGTGAGAAGGGGCGGGTCTTCGCAGGAGGCTCGGAAGCTCCATGGCACTCTGAGTTATGATGTCCCCACCTACTTTAGCCTTGATCATCAGAAAGAATGTCGAGCGCCAGAATAAAAAACGAAACTCGACGGTTTTCACGTGTCGGGCCCTGGGAGACACTCGTCCGACACTGTTTCGACACTCTCTCGACACTTTGCTGGGTGCTCGAAATTATTTCTGGGACGTGGTCCTTGAGTACGATGGGAGCAACATAACCTCTGAGAGGTGTTCTCAGCCTCTCCCGAAGACAAAAACCCCGCCGCCTTCTGGGAAGGCCCTCGCCTTCGCGTTTCCCCCCCTCGACCGCCGCCGGAAAGCACGGGGCGACCACGAGGCGGCCACGGCCTCGGGCGACCTCCGCATAAAAAGCCCAGAGCATCCACCCAAGTACTTGACAGCTACGTAAGGCCCCCTCAGTCAGTCTAAGTGAAGGGGCCCTGGGACACACACAAATAAATACACACAAATAAAAGGATTCCCCATATTTTCCCATAGTTTCTGGGTTTCTGTCTTCTCCCCCACTGCCCATATTTTCCTATATTTTCTGGGGAATCGACGATTAATTGTGTCTGTGTGTTTTTTCCTCTCCTGACTAAGACCTGATTGGAGAAACAAAGAAGAAACAAAACAGAAACAACAACAAAAAACTGAAAATTCAGCAAACCGAGCGCACACAGCTCACTAAGTTCACGCACGTATGGCTTCAAGGACGGGACGGGTTGACATTCAATTCGGCATCCTCTAAGCTGTTAAAGAGCATGCGTGCCTACAGCGATGCAAATCCCTTGCTTACAAGAGCCGTCTTCACAAGCTTGTCCATGATCCACCGAAGCCGTAGCCACCCGGGGCAAGATCATCAGGGCAAAATGAATGTCTCATCACGTTCAAAATATTTTGAAGGCTGCCTAATTACCTGCCCGCTCTCGTGCCTCGAGTGCTCGCAAGTCTGTCACAGTCTCGTTCCTCATCCTGCACGCTTTCTTCCAAGCATGCTTGTCTTCTGCGTTACGCAGCGTTGTGGTATATGCAAGTAGTAGCATGCGCATGTGGTGCTTCTCAGCCCCCTACCGAATACCCTCCTTGATGTAATGGTTTTTGTTGATGAGCTCGGTGAAAGAGGAAGCCCAGAAAATGAAGGACATGAACTTCGACAAAGCCTGAATGGCGACATCTAATGATCAGAGAGAAAAGAGCATGTCAAGGAAAAGAAGGAGCAAAGTATGGCATGCCTGGGGGAGGGCTTCGAAGGCATTGAATCAAAGAGGGCGGATCCACAGTTTTACCACAGCATTGAACTGCTGAACAAGTAGATCGGAGGGAAGGGGCAGAAGAAGAGCACTGGATAAGGTGGTGGCGGGAGAGTGGGAGAATGTGGAGAAGGAAGGTGCGAGACGCGCAAATACTCCAGCAGTATACTCAACAGAAGTGCCCTGGCGAGAGCAGCAAGCACAGGGGAGCTTTTTTTGTGACTGGACAATGCATTCACAGCGATACACAGTATGTCGCTGAGGCCAGCAGCGCGCAGAAGCAGGAAGACTGCCAGTCTTACATGCAGATTTGAACGCTAGAGCACACTCTGAACACAGTGCGAGACGAACTCCTGAGGGGGGGAGGGGGGGGGCGATTCTCGAACCTGTCCGAATGAACCAGAGATAGGCAACCATGTGCTCTTTGCTGAGGGCCCGAAGAACCTCCAGGCAGTCTCTGGGCCTCTGGCTCCAGCAGAACGGTCGTCTCTGTTCGCATCCAGCGCTTCGGCCGAGCAGGCGCACAGGAAGCCTGCAGCGAATTGGAGTATCACTGAAGCCAGCGCCCGCGGATCAAGCCACGGGGAGAAGAGTTTTCCTCAGGACTTCAAATCTCGCGGGTAATCCGTGGGACTTCTTCACCGATATCGACGGTCACCTCCACCGAACTAAGATGAAGCCCGAATTGGGTACGTTTTGGTGGTAATGCCTTGGCCACCTCACAGGCCTGAAGACTACCACCAACACCAAAATCGGGGGGGCATTGCCGAGGAGTTCCGGGGCCAAGCCGGGACGGCGGAAGGCACCTGCTTGACGTGGCCCAAGGGCTGCACGCGACGTCGATATCGATGAGATTGCTGGTCACTCATTCTGGAACGTAGTGTCGTCTTGTTAAGCCATGTGCTGAGGAAGGTTGAGACACCCAAAGCCAGTTGACGCCGCCCCCACTAGCCTGAGCGCGACGAAGCCCGAGGAAGAAGGGTGGGGAGGAGGAGCAGTAGAGGAATCAGTCACTGAATCACAAACATTGAAATTCGAAACCAAAAGGCTACGGAGACGGAGACGACAGGAAGAGGAGAAAGAGACGACGAAGAAGAAAAAAGATATATAAAACGAACCAAAGGCTGCGGACCAGGAGGTGACGGAGATGGCAGGGAAGAAGAAGATGCTTTAAAAATTGCTACGGGCGAAGAAAAAACGGAGAAGGCAGCGGGAAAAGAAAAGAAAATGATGATGACAAGGATCAACATGAAGATGTTGATGATGCTGGTGCTGATGATGGTAATGGTGATGGTGATGGTGATACTGATGGTGATGGTGATTGTGATGGTGATGGTGATGATGACGATGACGGTGATGGTGATGGTGATGGTGATGGTGATGGTGATGGTGATGGTGATGGTGATGGTGATGGTGATGGTGATGGTGATGGTGATGGTGATGGTGATGGTGATGGTGATGGAAATGGTGATGGTGATGGTGATGATGATGGTGATGGTGATGGTGATGGTGATGGTGATGGTGATGGTGATGGTGATGGTGATGGTGATGGTGATGGTGATGGTGATGGTGATGGTGATGGTGATGGTGATGGTGATGGTGATGGTGCTGGTGATGGTGATGGTGATGGTGATGGTGATGGTGATGGTGATGGTGATGGTGATGGTGATGGTGATGGTGATGTGATGGTGCTGGCGATGGTGACGATGGTGACGACGACGATGATGATGCCGATGATGATGATGTTTATGAGCATGATGACTGTGATGATGATGGCGATGAGAATGGCGATGATGATGCTGACGATGACGACAACGACAAGGATGGCGATGACGAAGCTGATGGTGGTGATGATGGTAATGGCGATGAGTATGATGATGATGCTGGTGACTGGTCACGATGATGCTGATATGATGATGGGTGATGGCGATGCTAACGATGTTGCTGATAATGCTGATGATGATGCTGACGATAAATGTAATGATGATGGGTGTAATAATGGTGGTGATGATGACGATTGTACATAATATAAAATGGTGGTAATGATGACGATGATGATGATGATGGTGATCATGGTGAAGTTGATGATGATGACTGTGGTGATGATCATCACGACGCGGATAATGGAGATGAAGATGTTGATGATGCTGATGGTGATGATTATGGTGGTGATGATGATGATGACGATGACGAGGACGGTGATGATGACGATGATGCTGATGGCGATGGATGGTGATGATGGTAATGGTGATGGTAGTGATGATGATGTCGCTGATGATGATCATGGTTGTAAGAATGATTATGATGACCACGAGGATGATGATGATGCTGATGATGCTGCTGATGCTGATGCTGATCCTGATACGGATGATGATGATGACGGTGGTGATCATGATGGTGATGATGACGATGATGATGCTGATGATGATGGTGATTATGATTGGTGATCGTACTGAAGATGAACGATAATGACGATGGTGATGATGATGATGGTGATGTTGATAATGATGCTGCTCATAGTGGTGATGCTGATGATACGGGTGATGATGATGGTGATTTGATGACACGTATGATGCTGACGATGATGATAATGATGATGTTGACGATACGGATGATGATAATAATGCTGATGCTGATGATGACGATGATGATGGTGATGATGATGATAAGATTTCCTGCGAGGTCAGCGGTGGACCCCCGCTCCGATGCGAAGGCGCACCGCGCGAGGACTACGGGCCGGTCCTTGCCCCGCCGCCGCGCGGACCCTGCCTGGGTGACCACTGCGACCGGGTCCGCTGCGCAGGCCACGAGGACACGGGCCCAGAAACACTTCACGTCGCAGCGCGCAAGGGGCAGTCCACACGCGCGCTAGGGCAAGCCCGATGACGGCATTGCGAACTGCCCGGACGCAAGAGGGGAAGGGGGGGGGAAGAGAGGAGCGGCCGCGGGAGGAGGGCAAGGAACTCATGCGTGGGGCCCAGACACATGCTGGGCGACGAGATCTATCCACTGTTCCCTGGCCAGGCCCATCCTGGGCCCAGCAGCGGAGTATGCGCCACGCCCTCGTGGCTCGCCCAGGAGAGCGTGTGCACAGCTCCTGGGCCCGGGAAAGGCCCTGGCCATGGGGCAGCGGGCGTGTATAGACCGTATCGGAGGTTGGGGGGTGAGATCGAAGTGGAACGGAGAGCCCCCCTACCGGGAAATCGATTTCGGTTTCGTGTTCGTGCGTGCCGTGCGGGCGAGGCGAAGCTGCGTGGGCGGGCGAGAGGAAAGTCTCCTGTGGCTGAAGCGCGGCCGGACCAGATGATTCTCCGCCGGGCGGCCGGTCGCGCGCGGTGTCCCGCCGGTGTCCCGCCGGTGTCCCGTCGGTGTCCCGATGATGATGTTGATGATGATTATGATGATGATTATGATGATGCTAGTAATGATGATGAGGGGATGATGTTGATGATGGCGATGATGATGATGATGATGTTGATGATGATGATGATGATGATGATGATAATGGTGATGATGATGATGACGTCGATAGTGATATCGATTGTGAGATCGGCAGTGAGACCGAATGAGACAGCGAATAAGGTCTCTCTCAGGTTCTCCTCCACCACGCTATTAGGGGGCACGGGCTTTGCTGCAGTGCACGGGTTTTGCCAGCGCAAGGGCTTTCCCAGCGCACGGGCTTTGCTGTAGTGCTATCAGGGGGACACGGTGTATGCCAGGCTTTGCCAGCGCTTCGGTACTCTCTGACTGCATGAGGCACGCTTTCGCTGGGTTTCAGCCGTTTGCGCTGTTTGAGCAAGGGAAAAGAGCTATGATGGCGGTACATCGGTCTCGACCGCCGAAGGGCAGCCGTTGAGCAATATTTTGAAGCGATTTAGTCAGTGGCGACAAGAAGGGCTTCAGCAGGCCTCCGACAAAAAAATCTCCACTGGCATCGTCAGGAGAACAATCACCACTGTTGCCCATTGCTCGGCCCCTCCACCCCCCCCAACCTCCTTATCACCCGTAGGGTGGTCGTATAGGTAGACCTCGTCGCCCGGACATGAGCCCCTGCGCCGAGGGTCCGAATCCCCGTGGGCATGCCCAAACCAAAGATCGTTCCGGGGTGGAGAGTCCCTCCCTCATACGTCCCCCCTCCTCCTCTTCCTCCTCCTCCTCCTCCCGCTCCTCCTCCTCCTCCTCCTCCTCCTCCTCCTCCTCCTCCTCCTCCTCCTCCTCCTCCTCCTCCTCCTCCTCCTCCTCCTCCTCCTCCTCCTCCTCCTCCTCCTCCTCCTCCTCCTCCTCCTCCTCCTCCTCCTCCTCCAATCAGGACCACGAGGGTACCCCCATCCACAGGGAGGGCTGCGATCGGCCCTCGCGCCCGCCGAACGCGACCAGCGCCAGGAGGCGGCGCTGCGCAGGCCACGGGACCGTGGCGCTGGAAGCCAGCGGGCGACGCGCGGCGAGGGCACGCTGGACAGGAGGAGAGGAGAGGAGAAGAAGAAGGCGGCCGCGGAGGAGGAACGCGGGGGGAGGCCGCAGGCGTAGAGGGTCGACACCACAGGGAGTGCGCGGGCGGCCTCGGGCACCTAACGTGGTGCAGTGAGATGTGCGCGGCCGGCCCCAGCTGCCGAGGGCGAAGGCTGCGCGATCCCGCGGGCCCAGGAGCCCAGAAGCGTGAGCCCCTTCGCCGACAGCCCGAGTCCCCGTGGAGATGCCCAAAAGAAAAACACTCCGGGGTGGAGGGTCCACGCCGTAGAGCACGGGGGGACCCCTCCACAGAGAGGCTGTAATCAAGCATCGTGCCAGCTGTACGCGACCAGCGCCAGGAGGGTACTGACGGGAGTCATCGCAACCGCAAGCGACGGCCGTGCCGTCGCTCCTGGGAGGGACCGCGCGGACGTCTCCAACGAGAGCCTGCGCGGGACAAC